TGCTGAAATTAATGGCAGGAATCCCAATGAGGGCAGGCAGGTAGTGAATACAGAAATAGTTGGAAGCACCTCAGTGTTATTTGCTTTATTCTACCATGACTTCACCCACTGTGGGGCACAGTGAAATGCAGCCACGTGCAAAGGGATTTTAGTAACAGCAGAGTAACACTGCACTTATCTTTTACATGTCACAACAGGCAGCATCCAAATTATTTCACAGCCTTGAACCTCAGGGCATGGTTATTCTCAAAATACACAGAAAACCTGAACAATTTAGATTCTTAAAGACCACTTCACCTGACACTGTCTATAATGTTGACAGCAGAGAGAAACATCTTAGACAATTACATCTAGGATCAGAGACAGAAAATTGTGCTACTGAGTCATAGAAGCACTTCCAAGCGCATTTGAAGACAAACATATATCATATCAAATGCTAGCAGAGATCTTCCAGGACAGCTTTTTAAGTGAAAAAATATGCTGATCAGACCAGTGTCTGTGAATTAGTGACACTGTTACTCCCTTATGTCAGCCTATTCTGCTGTCATGTTCAAACAGAAATGCATTCCATTCACACAGAATCATGAGGACACCATTAGAGCTGGGAAGGCACACGTGACATTTCCCTGACATGAGAGAAGTACCTGCTTTGCTTTAGCTCCAGACCAGAGTGCTTCAGGATCTATCTTGTATCTCGGATTCTACAGTCCAGACCTCTGCTCTGTGCTCAGGGTAATTATCCTGCAGGGAAAAGAAGCTTTGTCACTGAGGCTAATGGGGCCTGGCTTCCATCCTGCATCCCAATAATGCACAGTACCAAAAAACCACGTACTACTCCAGGTGCTCAAACTTTTCGGTTAAATATGGTAAAATACTACTGTCCAAGCAACAATTCAAATCAGATTTTGCAATTATTTCTTTATGATTAAAGCATGTGCCTTAAGAGACAACTGGAAGGGGTAGGATCTGTCTCATTTTGTTTTAAGGTCCTTTTCAATGGTTAGGGCTGTCAGCACACCAGGATTCTCTGCCATCACCACTGAGGCATCAACACTACTGAGCAACCACGCAGGTTACTGGGTACTTATTTCAGTTACTTCCAAACTCATTACAAAGGCAGAATCTGTTATCCAGGATCATGATACAATTGGCCCTGACACAGCCAGGGCTGAAAGATGGAGTTGTGTGGGTTTTAGAACAGCTGCTACAGCATCTCTTTACACTATTGTAGCTGGTCTCAGGTTAACACCTCTCCTCTGATCTCACCTGAGACAACTGCTGATGTTTCTTTTGCAGTTGCTTGAAGTCATGGCTCTGGTTGATTGCCACTGCTAATTAACTGTGTCCTTGATGCCAAACAGAACACAAAGGGGACTAGTCCACAACCTGTCAATGATTCACCAAAACACAACTTTCCTCTGATTCTTAGAGAAGTAAATAGTACTTGCTCTGAAGACAATTGTTTCATATGTTTAGATTTCTGGCAAGAACTTATCAATATGAATGCTGTGTATTTCTCAGAACCACACCTTCAAGTTTAATTGTGGAAGTCAGAAAACAAAAAAAAATTGCTTTAATACTATTTAATAAAGACACCTCAGGTGAAAACAACAGATACATAAGTACATAAATATTCAGATGAATGACTCAATAGAGCTTTCAGATGTCGCTTGTAGAGCAAAAACCCCAAAACAAATAAACAAACTCAAAGAAAAATTAATATTTTTTTCTTGACTTTCATAGGAACAAGTGCTAAACATTCCTGGAATTCGTGCAATGCTCAGATTCTGTGCCAGATTTTGCATTTCTGTTAACTGCCCATCACCTAGCAGCATTAGGGAATTTATTACTAGGGATTTTCTTTATAGCATTACATTTGCATAACATCTTTTAAAAAATCATTTTTATAGATCTCACTTTTTGAATGCATAAAATAATTACAATCATCCAGGTTTAACAAATACTCCAGAAATAAGGCAAGCAAACAATTTATCTGTAAAATAAATTATTTCATTAAAACATCCCTTAATATACTAATCCCTGATTATTGCATTCTAATTGTAGTGGAGGGAACCCTGTACTTCAGATGAAGTGTCATTAATAAATAAATAAAACCCAGTAACCCTAGATTCCCACCTGTATCAATATACAGTGACATCAACTTGATTCTGAAATTCAGCTCTTTTAGGCTTTTGTAAACCATCTTTCAGCCAGGATTAGCATCACTTTTGTTGTCAGTGTTGAATTTCAAACATTCAAAGATCTCTTCGTGAGCAATAACAGCAATTAGCTCACTTTTAGTTGAGACCATATTTTAACATAACACGAATTCTGGCCACTTTACTCCTGTTGAATGCAAGAACAGTTCAGCCCCCTGTGTGCCATGGCAGTGTATGAGGTAACCACGTGCCATTCCCTGAACATATGTGCTTATATTTTAATGCAGTGCCTGAATTAGTTGCAGACATATTTTGAGCTTGAGTATTACGTGCTCACCTTGATCGTGTCATTTTTCTCTACTTCATTTCAATTTCCTCATTCTCTCTGTTACTAATTAGTGTTGGATGGCAAGTCAAACATTCAAACAAAGCAAGTAGTTCAATGAGCACTGTGTAGGAGCCAGCAGAAACAAAGGAAGTCTCCTATAAAGTGCTATCACAGAGGTATAAAAAAGCCCCTTTTCTCTAGAAACATGTTGGCAGTAAAAATGACAAGAGGAATCAGTAAAACAACCATTCTGTTCAAACTCATGTCAACTTGAGATGATCATAAAGGAGAAAACTCACACGGGGTGGAAAAAGGTACCTACAAGGATGAAAGTTATTTCAAGATCATTTGGAGAAAGATCTATCACTGCCACTGCCTGATAGACCATAATATCATGGAAATCTCAGCCAGAAATCAACATGAGTATATAGTACTGAATGAAGAAGATAAATGGAAAGAACACCCAAAGGTCTGAGATCAGATCTTCAGCTTTTACAAATCAGCATTGTTTAATTTGTTTTAGGCAGACAATAGTGATGTCCAACAGCCCAGGGTCCTTAGATTTAACAGGAAAGGGTTCTTCCAGTTTACTACAAGCAGTTTTCCTACTGGGAGTGATAGAAGAGAGCATCATTTCCTTACCAGATGCTGGTATTTGGGACCAAAGGCAAGTGTGATTATTTGTGGTTTAAGCCACCTTTTTTTGCTTACAGAAGATGTAGCAAATAGGGTAAAAGTATCCTTACATTATATCTGCTTTTTGTGCTCCTGATACCTTTTTTTCTCTATCCAAACCCAAGCAGTGCTGTGGAACAATTGCTGTGACTGACACTTCTGTCACTGCCATTAAACCAAGCAGGAGCAAACTCACTGCAGTCCATTCACTTACACCAGGGTTTAAATATATTACTGCTCTACTCCACAGTATAATTTGTAACTGTTGCTACTATAAAAAATATTACTTGTTTGGCAGACCATGCTATTCCCACTAATGAAAAATAAAGCTATGCTCATCTAACAAGAGAACAATACTTTAGATACCATAATAGACTGTTACACAATAAACTCTAAACAAAATACATGTGAGTATTATTGGCTTACATGCTAGAATTTTGTCCACATAAACTTGCTTAAAGCTGGAAATAGACTTTTGTCTGAGAAGAAGAACCTCATATCTGCTGTTTTGAATTTTCTTACCGTTTTTTGTTCCAAAATTAATGCTCTTGAAATATATAATAAACCACCACTTATTTATACCTCCAATTCAAATGTCATATTAAGGCAATAGATTGTGAGAGTGTGTGTTATAAGATGTGTATAAGTTCATCTCTACACTGACAAAGTCTGATTCCTACAACTCACTACAAATATTAGTTATGGTAATAGCCTATTACTGACTTCATGTAATCTAAAATATTCAAAATAAATTATTACATAGGCCACCTGATTATGATAATAATCTTCCAAGGAATACTCACAGCAAGGTCAACTTATTCAGCTTTACCTAGTTCAAAGTTTTGTGTCACTGAAGGCTTTGGTTTCTGTTTCTGTAATTTAGAACATTGTCAGGAAGTATGAAATGAATCTTACTGTAGAAAGATCACCCAAATTAGGGCTTGCTTTCCTCTATCTTGGTGACAAGTCATCTTTGTCAGAATGACACATTGTCACCTCTGATCTTTCATCTCCAACCTCCTCTACACATTCCAAAGGATCAACAGACTTAGGGAAAACAAAGTCATTTCTTTTCATAAGGATTTGACTGCTGGAGTCTCTTCTGAGGAGAGACTTTCAGGTGCAGAGGTTACTTGTTAACATACTTGAAGAATGAAAGGCTGTTTTGATGGCAGAGTTGTACTTAATTAAACAATAGTGAATTTATTAAAATAAAATGTTCTTCTTGTCCATATTATCTTAGGATATAAATAGAAAGAAAAGTTTAATTAGTTAAGGAAGAAATTTGAGCCAGGTCTCAATTCAAACATTTGATCCATGAAAGTGTAACCTAAGCAGTGGTTATTGTCACCTTTTGAATCCTTTATAAGACAGAGTAGCAAGTAGAGCCAACATTACTATTTTGCCTGGTGTCTCCTCAGCTATTTTTCCTTTACTTAGCTGAGAAAACTCTAAAGGTGAGCTGCTGACTTGAGAATAATTAAATGAAATTACTGTGCAGAGCTGCACCAGTAGTAAGTACAATAACCATTGTTCTAAGATTTTTCTTTTAATTGCTGAAATTACATATGGATGGACCTTATATAGATAAGTATCAGTTTTCTTTTTATTCTTCAGAGCTGTTGGGGGAGACAATAGAAGCAAACTTTCTTGCCTTTCCTTTTCCCACTGCATCTACTATTATTTGTGTTGCCAGATGTCATGCATTCCAGTAAGACTAATTATTAAATTAATAGTTACATAGAGTTTAAAAACGTACTGTACTTAAATAGGTTGAAGGTAAATGATAAAAAAATTGATAGTCAACTCACAACATGATTTATGTAACGCATCTCATTAAAGAGCATTATTTCAGCACTGAATTTTTTTAAGGAAGTAGTGTACTAAATCTTGTCCTTTGTTTAGGAATAGCAGAGATGCTGGTTTGATCAATTAGATTAATCCACTCATAGAAGCCTTGTTATCTTTATAGTATTCTTCGAAACACAAGAAAACCAATTTTTTTGTAAGATGCATTTGCATTTCACAACTCTGTTTGGAATATACTCTTTTGCCCAGGTTTAAAATGAGCCTCACAGACATTCTAAGCCCTTCGGATATTGCTGCTGCTCTGCGGGACTGCCAAGGTGAGAAAACAATTCAAACCCTCTGAATCGATTATTTTGGGTAACACGGGGCAAGTTTGGCTCGGGCCTGAAGGAATAGTGAACAAGTGCATACTTTAAACTGATTTCCATAATCTCTTTACTCAGCTGTCACAGAATGTTTGTTCATAACTGGTTTACCTTGGCAGTTTGCAGCTTATCCCCACGTGATTTTGTTTGATGTTTAGGAGGGTATGGGCCAGTAGGGCAAATTCATTCTCTCCTTGACAGGCTTCACCTACTGTTCATGCTTAGTACAACTATAAAGTAGCAAAGCAGTGTCCTCAGACCATTTAGGAACAGTGAACAAAGTGGTCTGGGGTTAATTTTTTTATTAATTTATTTTCAGCTCCAGATTCCTTTAGTCCCAAAAAATTCTTTCAGATCAGTGGGATGTCTAAAAAGAGTAGCAGCCAGCTCAAGGAGATCTTCCGGATTCTCGACAATGATCAAAGTGGCTATATTGAGGAAGATGAGCTCAAGTAAGGATTTTATTAACTATTTAGATGTTATCAAGCTATCAGCACTTTTTACGTTCCAGAACTGTTCTGCAAATGTGAACACAAGTTATGCTAAATGTTGATAAAACCTTCAGCAAATTGTGACATTTGTATTTAAATAGATAATCCCTACAGAGAAAAACAAATTAGTAATACCTGCCTTTGATCCTTAGTATAGAAAAACATAACTCCCTGGGGCTGGATTTGATAGCAGAATCAATTGTATCAGGGTTGTACTTACAAAGCAGAAATATATACAATTAAGATTTAGCTTATCAAACAAAGCAGTGTTTGAAGGACTTGACTATTGTGGTAAATGATTTAGAGATAGCTATCAGTTTGATTATACAACAAGCATAGAAAAATAATATTGTGTGAAAATCTAAACCAAAGTTGTTTTCTTCCAAGGTATTTCCTTCAGAGGTTTGAGTGTGGAGCCAGAGTGTTAACCACCTCAGAAACCAAGACCTTCCTGGCAGCTGCAGATCACGACGGGGACGGGAAAATTGGGGCTGAAGGTATTGACTTGTTTAAAGGCAGAACGAGGCTCCTCGGGGTGTGTTGTAATGATGTGTGATTCTCTTTTGTGTTGATGGTACATCAATGTACCTCCAGTGATTTTACTGAAACCCTTGCAGGAGCAACCTTTTAAAGGTGGAAATGGTCCCTGACCTTACAGGTTCATCTCTGCTACTGCTTTGGCACAAACAAGTCGAAAAAACCCTGAGGAACTTTCCTGTTGCTACTCACTCTCAGATTTCCAGTTGTTCTGAAGGGAACTGCCCCTTATTTCTCCTCCCACTGGCTGATGTAAGGCAGCACTGGTACCACTTGTAACACACAAATGCAATGTCAAGAACAAAGAACCAGCTGTGCACAGAGGAACCAACAGCACACACAGCAGCTCATTTACAGCAGCAATTTCCCAACAGAAATTCCACTAGTCACTGACTGACATTTCCAATATGCAGGAGCCAGCAGCACATAGGTCCATATTTGTTTTGCATAATAAGGAGAACAGAATGATCAAGTGTCACTACTCCAACACAAGATCCCCCAGCAGGATCTGTTGGATGCTATTTATCTTCAGTGGCAGGGTAAGGACCCGACAGGAAGGAGCAGCTGTTCTAGGAAGCAGCAGGTTGCACTCACCACTGCAAATGCTGGTGGGATTTAATGGCTGCTCAGTGCAGAAACCTCCTGATCTCCTCATTCCCTATTTCTGAGCCCTATTTTGAACACGAAGCACACTCACACAAAAGGCTGGCAGCCAATGGCACTGCCCTGGGAGAGCAGCAAGTGCCCGGGCCAGCATGAAAGAGGCTTAGGGAATAGCACGCAGGGAATGTGCTGGCAGGCAGATTCCCCAGCTCACTGCACCAGCAGGACAGAGCTCTTCTGTTTCTTTCTTTGGAAGGAATTAAATCCAGTTCCTTAGGAACTATGCCAGAATAAACACACATGATTTATGAAGCAATCCATATACTAATATAGTCATTCAGGACAGGACTGATCAGACACTAATTCACTGAAGCCAAACATTTAAAAGACCTTTCAATAACAGTATCTTATTGCACAACACAATACTCCAGGATCATACCACATGGAACTGCACAATTTTTTGGCTTTAGACAGTGCTCTAAATCAACACTTCTCAACTATGGAAGCATTACAAACACACGGACTCACTTTTCATTGTTTTTTTGGTTCAGCTCTTAACTACTTCTTACTCAAATTCTACATAAGCCATTCCAATATTTTTGCCTAGGATTAGTATTGTGCAGAGAGAAGGCTAAAACTACCCTGAATATTTTATTACTCCCTGTAAGTGCCAGCAAAACACTGCCTTTCCATCTGCTGTTTGTAAGTGGGTGTTTAGGCAATGCCTCTCTTCTCTGGTCATCTATCAGGGAACTGTTTTCTGTTCATTCCTATTCTAAATCTCTTGATATGTTACTAATCTTTCACTCTTAATCCTTTCATGTTAGTATTTCTACTGTAAATAATCTCTTATCTTTCACAGAATTCCAGGAAATGGTGCAGGCTTAGAGATTCAAAAGGACCAAACAAGACAGAAGTGAGATGAATCTGCATGAGACACTCCAAACCCTTGAAAATCAGGAGTCCCTTGTTTATCTTGACAGTGTCTGTTATTTGTTCATTGCCTTAGTAACAAAATGAAACACTCATTACTGATTTTTTTCATTGTGTGGACCACTCACCATGTTCTAAACTCTATTTAGCAGACACTTCCCTTAAAAATACCCAATAAAAATTAATCATATACTGTAGCTTGTGTCTGTTTTTCTGTCTCCTAAACTGAAACGTGAATTCTTAAACTAAAAGTGTTCATCCCTCCAAGATCTTAGTCTTATCAGATCTTCATATATGGGATATCTTTTGAAATTAGTGAGAGTTCCTCCTAGATTAAGCCTAAACTCTCAGAACACTCAGATGTCAATCAAAGACTAGGAGCTGAGATACAGTTGTGAGGTAGGTGAGGATAAAATCTCTCACTGACTCCCAAGTGAAGAGCAGTCACACATTTTTGCTTAAAAAGTGGCTTCTGAATGAGATTGTTGCAGTTTCAAACCACTCTTTTGCATTAGTCGATTAATAGATGAGGAAAGTAAAACCCACATGCTTTCCTGCAGAAAGAATGAAAAGGAAAGCCACGTGGACTTGAGGTTTCAGACAACTGTGAGGTTCTAAGAAGCAGAGGGGAAGCAAAAGATATCTTCTTCGTGGTATTTTCTAGTTTTATCAATAGAGAGGACTAAAAGCGTGGAGGAAGAAATTGTAACAAATGCATGTTGAGAAAGCTCCAGCGTCCTCTGCCTGGTGTTTCTGGGCTGTGACTGACATACTAAAAATGTCCTTCACAAATGCAACCATCTCTGGGGATGCTGATGCTTTGATATGCTGGGCCCTTTGCTCTCTCCCAGCCTGTGTTTTGCAAACCCAATAAAAGAGTAATTAAAAATTTTCTGTTGGCTTTCAAACATGTTCATCATCAAAGCAAAAGCAGTCTAATACATTAAAAATCTCCTTCACTCAGTGTGAAGAAAAGTTCAAGCAATGCCATTCTCCAAGGCACCCTACACAACTACACCAACACAAATTCCATAAGGATTCCTCCCTGAGGACTCCCCTGTGTGCTCTCTGCAGCTATTTACTCTTTTGGGAGCCAAGCTTTGGCAAGCCAGCCAAGAAACACCTACTGCCTTTTAAAAAAATACGTATCTATTAATCCACAGGTCTTAACAGCTGACAAGTGAAAACAGATTTTTTGTCTCATTTCAAAATGTTTTCAAGCAGCTTAATGTGCCACACGAGTTGTTTGTAAGTTGGTAGATTCAGTGCAGGCAAGAATTTCATATGGCACTCACATCTTTTCTCTTACTGTGCAAAATTCATACAAACCGATAAAAAATTACCATTGAATTTTAAGACTGTTTTTTAATATCATGAAATACGCTCACCTGGCATAAATTTCTAGAGTATCAGTGACTTAAATAGAGCTACTCAGATTTACAAGCTGAGGGTCTGACCATGAGGAACTGACTCATGGCGATTCTCACAGCATAGGGTGGATGTCACAGGATAGTCACAAGAAATAAAGTGTTTTCTTGGCAATGAAATCAGTCTGATGACAGAAGGGTCTTGGAGTAGTTCACATGTAAGTAACAAACAAACTGCTCTCCATTTCACTGACAATTAGGTGTCCTGACCTCTACTAATCACGTTGCATCAGGCAGGCAAATGCATGTGAAATAAAGAATTTTCCAGGTGCTGTAACACTCTGAACTCTAGTTCCCCTCAATGTCTCGGCCTTTGCACCATGAACCTCAACAAAGAAACCCAGAGGCAAAGCACAAATTCTGTTATTCTCCACTGAGATGTAACAAACTGGAGCAGGTCACTGGCACAGGCAGACAGAGGATTCCTGCAGTGTCCTGGCCCTCAACAAATTTGTGAGTGAAATTAGAATCTCCTTCATTCCCCAGGAAGAAAAATATACCTCAACTTGTTTGCATCTGAAGTTCCTGTAAAACATCTATGCTACAAAATGTACTCAGGTTCAACCAAGAGGCAACAAACAAAAGGGAACCACTTCTTGGCCTGACGTGAAATTTTAACTAATTTGTACGTAAAGGCTTCAGAAAAACGCTGTTGTTCAGTACTAATCCAAAACGTGTCTCAATTGTTCATTTATAGCTTATTACTGTATAAAAGTTTTGCACTACAGCAACAAACAGAAAAAAATAAACTTACTCTACTTGAGATATTCTGATCTCTCCGACATCCAAAACATTGCAGTTAAAGACTCTTTCCACGCATTTCCATCAGGAAAAAAAGTACCTTAAAAAACCTCAATAGTACAGCACCTACCCCAGTAGATTACTGCTCTTTGTGGGAGAACATTTTAAGCAAAGAAACACTTGCTGACTTGTAGGATTTCTGTAGTGGAAGAAACTTGTAAAGTTAAAACAACTTATTCCTTCCCTGGGATCCTTGAAACACTAGATGATACTTTGGAATGCTTTTATAACACATGTGATAGTGATAACAAACTGGATTTATTCACTGACAAAGATACTTGTCGGCTCTCTGGCCTAAACCAAAATACTCCTTCTGGAGACATGGCATGTAGAATTCCAACTGCTTCAAGTAGGCACTTGTAATTGAGAAAGCTCCTGGGCAGGGTTTTATTGACTGACAAGGATGGAAAAACTAAAGATATTGACCATATTTAACCCCTACAGATATGGGTGCTCACTTTGTATAAACATGTTTTTAATGAACAGGATGGAAATAAGGGCTGCATCAAACTGCTGCATTCACCACAACGATTTGACATGAAAGGCAGCAGCCAGAAATCAGCCACCACTGACAATCACGCTTAGAGATGGCAACAGAAGTTGCAACTAGTTATCAGAATTACCACTTGTACATTGCACACTGAAATTACTCACTAGACATGACCACTATAAAAATACGTTTTTGGAAAACACCAGAATACTTGTGATTACATTAAAATACATGTCTTGAGAATTCCATTCCACATTCACATTATTTACTCTATAATGTGCCATGCTATTTTGTCTGTGAATAGTTACAATTTAAATATAAAAGAATAAACAGTAGCTTTATTCGACCTCTAAGCACAAAAAATACCATGCCTCAAATATGTCAAACTATGACATCGTTCTTCATGTAATTCTCATTTCTTGCAGTGATCAGCAGGGAAATAATTAACTTATTAATATAATTCTTCTTCAGAGCTGAAATCCTTTTAACAGTTTAGCCCCTTCATCATCCTCTCTTCCCAGCTTTTCTTTCATGAGTACTACAGACCCAGTGGTAACAACACATTAAACAAATCAAAACATTTAAATATCTCGAGTTTTGCATGGAAGCGGTTTTTTATTGCTACTCAGTAACTTTGTGTCTTTAATCATAACCCAAGCTAGTGTAAGGTTACCATCTCCCTTTATGAAACCCCTGACCCTACAAAGCAAATACATCCGTTATTAAACCATCTTTACTCACCACGACACTCACATTGTTGCTCACACTCCCTGACACCACACTGAGAAGGAATCTGGGGGAGGTGAGTGCTGTCTTAGCAGGAGCCCTGCTCCAGCTGCAGGGTTGTGTTTTCACAGAGAGCTTCAAAGGCCTGGGACAGTGTTAACAAAGCCTGCAGACCAGGGATACACAGGCATTGTGCTTTTTGCTGGATCACAGCATTATTTTGTAATTTATTTGCTAAACTAATCCCAAACTGCTGAGTCTATGCATTTGTTAACACATTTAGACCACATACTGTCAATGGAGCAGCTATTTGAGCTGTCAGCTGTATTTATTTAAAGCTGTCAGCTCTAACACCCGGAGTGATTTATAGTATACCTTTTTGTTAAGTCTGTTACTATGCAGCTGAGGGAAATGCCAAAAATAGTATCCAGAAATAGGTTCAACAAGCCAAAACATATGCCTACACAATACTATTTCTTACTCCTATGTTATTTTAAAAATAAATTAGAAAGCAATCATAAAGTTGGTAATTGCTTGCCTCTTGATGCAAGGGTTGTCCTGCAAATTCCCCATGTACTTATGCAGCAGTTTAATTTTACATAATCATGGGCTAGGAATCACATTTCAAACTCAGGGTGATCTGATGCCACCTTGCAAATGTCAAGGTGTGGTGTTACTGCACATACAATTAAGAAGATGGGATGAAATTGGAACCACAATCGAAGTTTCTTCCTGCCCTGTTAATGTGTACATTAGAAATGTAATAATTTAATTGAATCTCTTATCACTTACACTTTGTAGATTCTCACAAATACTTCCACCAAAAGCAATGTCAAGTTACAGATGAGGTTGCACCAAGCAGAATTATATTTTATCAATCACTACACATATATTAATTCCCTTCCTAGGGAACGTTTGGCAAGGAAACACCTTCCTTAGCAATCACCAATTACAGTGAGTCCCCACTGTCCAACTGCAAATGCTTCCACAACATAACCCTTGCACCAGTATTTGTATTACAGGAGTGAACAGGCACCTTAGTCATAGACCAGAATCTCCATCTTGTTAAGTCCTGACTAAACACACATCTAAATATTTATAACCAATTATATAAATATTGAAACCAACACAACCCAAAATCTACAGTCACTGCAGCTTCATAATTCCTTTGGTGAGAAATTAATTAACTTGACTATCGATATCACCAATTTTAAGAATTTCCGCATTTTGCTTTAAGTGAGTAGCATGAAGAAATTAACTTCCCCTCTGACAGGCAGTCCTGACCACCACCTCACCCCTGCCTGCAGCAGAGTACAAGCAAGGAAGGGAACTGCTCTTTTTGTTCAATATATTCAATCCTGACTGGATGTTCCCAGAAATTGTCTCAATGGTGCTGCAGCCTTCAAATGGACAGACTATTAAAGAAAGGGCTCATCTGCACACACAGCTGAATTTAAACTCAGAGCTGTAGGGTACAAAACAAGAATTACTGTATGTGGATGTCTTATCCTGACAGGTTTGGCCTGATGCTTCCTCAGAGCCTGCTCAGGGAAACCCTGGGGAGCCCAGTACAGCAGGGCCTTTCCTCGTCCTGCTTTGCTGGCAAGGGGCAGGAGTCACCTTCTGCTGT